CCACAGACTCCTAAGTGCACCACTCACTCTTTTTCCCTCATCAATTCTATGATTCACCTCATCTTTCATAGACCCATCCGCTGACACGTCCACTCCCAAATATCTGAATACGTTCACCTCCTCCATACTCTCTCCCTCCAATCTGATATTCAATCTTTCATCACCTAATCTTTTTGTTATCCTCATAACCTTACTCTTTCCTGTATTCACCTTTAATTTTCTTCTTTTGCACACCCTACCAAATTCATCCACCAATCTCTGCAGCTTCTCTTCAGAATCTCCCAAAAGCACAGTGTCATCAGCAAAGAGCAGCTGTGACAACTCCCACTTTGTGTGTGATTCTTTATCTTTTAACTCCACGCCTCTTGCCAAGACCCTCGCATTTACTTCTCTTACAACCCCATCTATAAATATATTAAACAACCACGGTGACATCACACATCCTTGTCTAAGGCCTACTTTTACTGGGAAATAATTTCCCTCTTTCCTACATACTCTAACTTGAGCCTCACTATCCTCGTAAAAACTCTTCACTGCTTTCAGTAACCTACCTCCTACACCATACACTTGCAACATCTGCCACATTGCCCCCTATCCACCCTGTCATACGCCTTTTTCCAAATCCATAAATGCCACAAAGACCTCTTTAGCCTTATCTAAATACTGTTCACTTATATGTTTCACTGTAAACACCTGGTCCACACACCCCCTACCTTTCCTAAAGCCTCCTTGTTCATTTGCTATCCTATTCTCCGTCTTACTCTTAATTCTTTCAATTATAACTCTACCATACACTTTACCAGGTACACTCAACAGACTTATCCCCCTATAATTTTTGCACTCTCTTTTATCCCCTTTGCCTTTATATATTACACAATGTAAAGATAAGTATGAACTGAATGTAAGTATGTACTTACATTTAGTACATAATTAACTTTACTTTCCAAAGTACTTCTTAACAGATTTTAGTACTTCCAATTTTGAAGCCAGGTCTGAGACCAGGTAACTGGGGCACTGATCCCTAAAATCATTAACAGATACAATAGAACATATAACAGATATATAATAGATGTTCATACATAGTAATTCTTAAAAACATTATCTATCCCTTTTCAAGTTTTTCATTAGATACAAGATTTTGTTAGAATTTTTAACTCCCAGAGGGTTAGCCACCCAGGGTAATCCAAGAAAGTCAGTGTGTCATTGTTGTGTAATTATTGTGCTTGCTCCCAGTACATAATGTAATGGACTATGCATATGCTGTTGATGATATCTATCTTATACAGTCTCCCTGACACAGAATGTATCAAATCAGCCACACAGTATGCTGTACAGTACTGCTGTGCAAGCAGCTTTGGGACCCCAATGGAAATAAGTGTTTATATTTCTCCATCACAATACAAGGGTTCCACGCTACCAGTGCTTCTATTTCTCCATCACAATACAAGGGTTCCATGCTACCAGTGCTTCTATTTCTCCATCACAATACAAGGGTTCCATGCTACCAGTGCTTCTATTTCTCCATCACAATACAAGGGTTCCATGCTACCAGTGCTTCTATTTCTCCATCACAATACAAGGGTTCCATGCTACCAGTGCTTCTATTTCTCCATCACAATACAAGGGTTCCATGCTAAGAGTGCCTCAATTTCTCCATCACAATACATACAAGGTTTCCATGCTACCAATTCCTCTATTTCTCCATACAACCATTTCTCCTGTTGGGTTAGCAATATAGAGGTACCTGGAATCAAATCCTGGGGGAAGAGAATCAAAGGGCCCAGTCAAAATAAGCCATTCTTCTTGGCTTTCTTGATTATCATAGACTAACAACCCTCCAAGATTAAATAACAAAGAGAACCTTTTCTTTTCTTTGCTGGGGTTCCTTTGGCTAAATTTTCATAACCCTGTTTACCTATATGATTTATAATTATGTCAGTACATTGGAACCTCAAAAATTGAACGTATCACATATCGAACGTTTCGAAAATATGACCATTTTTTCGGACAAACTGTGTCCCTATTATCGAATGAGCCCCTATTTTCGGACCGCCGGGCATGAGACCTGTCTGCCGGCCCGCTCTGTCCACGTCCCCGAGCAGGCGCCGTGAGCAGTCTAGCTTTGTTTATGCTTGAGTGAACACTAACCTGCACTCTCATTCACGCATTTTATGATTATTTCATTGTGTTTAGTGCTTGTGGGACTGTGAAATAAGCTGCCATGGGCCCAAAGAAACTTGCTAGTGGTACCCCTGTTTTAAAGAAAGTGAGAAACACCATAGATGTGAAGAAGGAAATAATACAGAAGTATGAGAGTGGTGTAAGACTTGTTGAGCTTGCCAAGATGTATGGGAAAAACAAGTCGACCATCGGTTCTATCCTGTCAAAGAAAGAACAAATCAAGGAAGCTGATGTTGCGAAAGGTGTTAATATGCTAACCAAAAAAAGACCACAGATAGTTGAAGAGGTTGAGAAGTTGTTGCTGGTGTGGATCAAGGAAAAAGAGATTGCAGGTGATAGTGCTTCAGAGACGATTATCTGCGAAAAGGCAAGGAAGTTGCATGCTGATCTGGTACAGAAAACTCCTGGAACCAGTGCTGATAGTGAATTTAAGGCCAGCAGAGGCTGGTTTGACAGATTTAAGAAGCGTAGTGGCATACACAATGTTGTAAGACATGGTGAGGCAGCCAATTCAGACAAACGGGCGGCTGAGAAGTTTGTACAGGAGTTTAAGGGGTACATAGACAGTGAAGAATTGAAACCTGAACAAGTGTTTAATTGTGACAAAACAGGCTTGTTTTGGAAGAAAATGCCAAAAAGGACCTTCATCACACAGGAGGAAAAGGCACTGCCAGGACACAAGCCTATGAAAGACAGGCTTACTCTTTTATTCTGTGCTAATGCTAGTGGTGATTTTAAAGTGAAGCCTTTACTTGTGTATCATTCAGAAAATCCCAGTGTGTTTAAGAAAAACAATGTCTTTAAGAACAAGTTATGTCTTGTGGAAAGCTAATCATAAGGCATGGGTCACAAGACAAATTTTCAAAGAGTGGTTCTATGAAGTGTTTGGCCCCAGTGTGAAAAAATACCTTCAGGAAAAGAAATTGCCACTCAAGTGCCTCCTGTTAATGGACAATGCTCCTGCTCATCCTCCAAACTTATTAGACCTCTTGTCTAAGGACTTCAGTTTTATAAAAGTGAAATTCTTGCCTCCTAACACCACTCCTCTCCTCCAGCCCATGGACCAGCAGGTTATTTCTAACTTCAAAAAACTCTACACAAAAGCAGTGTTTGAAAAGTGCTTTGAAGTGACCACAGACACTAAGTTGATCCTAAGAGAGTTCTGGAGGAATCACTTCAACATATACAACTCCATAAGCCTTATAGGTAAGGCTTGGGAGGGAGTGACTTCCAGGACTTTGAACTGCTTGGAGACAATTGTGGCCAGATTGTGTCCAAAAGAGGGATTTTGAAGGGTTTGAGGCTGACCCTGACCCTGACCCAGCTCACCCTCTGCCTGTTGTGGACTCTATTGTGGCATTGGGGAACACCCTGGGGTTGGAGGCGAGTGGTGAGGATGTGGAAGAGTTGGTGGAGGACCACAGGGAAGAGTTAACCACTGAAGAGCTGCAAGAGCTTCATCTGGAGCAGTATCAGACCACAGCTGAGGAACTTGCTTCAGAGGAGGAGGAAGAGGGAGTGGATGAGGTGTCTTCTTCAAAGATTAAGGAGATTTGTGCCAAGTGGAATGATGTCCAAATGTTTGTGCAGAAGTACCACCCTGAGCAAGCTGAAACAAGCCATCTTTGCAACAAGTTCAGTGACAGAACCATGTCCCATTTTAGGGAAATGTTAAAGAGGCACCAGAAAGAGAGGACTGTGGACAGTTATTTTGTGAGACAGGGGTCCAGTGACTCTCAAGTCGGTCCTAGTGACATTAAAAGACAGAGAAGGGAAGTAACCCCAGAGAGGGCTTTACCTGAAGTCCTCATGGAGGGGGATTCTCCTTCCAAACACTAACCCCAACTTCCTCTCTCCTCCTCCCTATCTTCCAGATGCCATCACCAATCTTCAATAAAGGTAAGTAAAAATGTTATTTTATATGTATTACTATACATAACTAAAAACTATAGTATTTGTTGTATGTAAAACTGAAATTAATCTCTATAAAATGTATTTTTTGTGTGAATATTTTTGGGTTTGTGGAACGGATTAATTGTATTTCCATTATTTCTTATGGGAAATATTGCTTCGAATTTCAGACTTTTCGAATTTAGAACTAGCTCCTGGAACAGATTAAGTTCGATTTTTGAGGTTCCACTGTACTAGTATTACTTTTATCCTTATTATTATTAAATTCATGGGACAAATGCTACACTCGTAAGCATCATACAGTGCCTTGGGAATGGGAGAAAAGCAGTTTGATTCAAGAAAGGGAGGTAACTTTTATTTCCAGGATCAAGAGCCCTTCAGCAGCATCAAGACACTCTCCATGAAAAGTGTGAGCCTATACTGTTCTTACCGCAACCACAATAAATGTAAAATAATTGTAAAAATCACTATATGTACAGCTGTTTATTTAGGCCTCATACATAATTTTAAATTTACACAACGATTTTATATAGTAAATTAAGTCAAACTAATCCTCATAAACTGACTTATTTCCATTGGATGACTTGTATTGTCAACATTCATATAATAACCATATCCTTTAATATGATGTTGTGTCAGTGTTAACATGATAAATAGTTATTAATTTAGAAGTATATAAATGATAAATAATTATTTATTACTGTGGTTGTAGTATACTAATGTTAACAAATTATCAACGTGGTTGTATTAACATCATACACACATTATATATGTGTCAATATTAATATGACTACCTGTATTAATGTGGTTGTATGTCCACGTTAACATGATAAATACAGCCATGATCAATGTGTCGTTCATTAAATATTAAGGAGGTATACCTGGGTGTGCGGGTTGACAGCTGTTACCTGCACGTTGATATAAAGGGTAGCTCCAGGGTGAACATACTGGTAGTAACAGTCTTCTTTACCCGCATCTAAGTGGATCTTGTACTCCATGGCGATCCCTGGAGCATTATCAAAGGACCAGTCCTCGAGGGTGGCCAGGGAGAGGACAGGTAGGAGGAAACATGTAGCAAGTATCAAACACACGCCGGCCATCACTGCTGCTGCTGCTGATCAAACCAGAGTTGTCAAGGTAAAGTTTTAAATGTCGCTAGAAACATACCTAAAAGTTGCTAAAAAGAGCAATGCTTTTGCAGGAAAAAACTATAACAAGGAGCTAAGACTAATAGTTACAAATGGCAACAATGTATTACATTCTCTCACCAGTGTATACCTGGAGGGGGTTTCGGGGTCAACGCCCCCGCGGTCCAGTCCATGACCAGGTCTCGTGGTGAATCAGGGTCTGATCAACCAGGCTGTTACTGCTGGCCGAACGTAAACCGTCGTGCGAACCACAGCCCGGCTGCTCAGGTACTGACTTTAGGTGCCTGTCCAGCCCCAGGTACCCATTTTACTGATGGCGAACATAGACAACCCGTGTAAAGAAACACGCCCAATATTTCGACTTTCGCAGGGAATCGAATCCGGTCCTCAGCGTGTAAAGGGAGAGCTTTAGCCACCAGGCCACGGGCCACCGCTGGGTCACTGCCTCTGTGTTAGACGGCTGATTTATTGATGTAAATGTGTGTGTGAGTGTATATATATATATATATATATATATTTTATATTATATATATATATATATATATATATATATATATATATATATATATATATATATATATATATATGGTGGCTAAGCTCTCCTTTCACACGCTGAGAGACAGGGTTCGATTCTCGGCGAGGGTTGAAACATTGGGCGTGTTTCTTTGCATCGGTTGTCTATTTTCACCCATCAGTAAATTGGGGACCTGAGTGTTAATCGACAGGTGTGGGTCGCATCTTGAGACAAAACTGATGTAATTTGCAAGAAATGCTCTGCATATCAAGCGGCTTTCTATATAGTAGTATATCATTGATGTCAGCTAGGACTGTATATCTTGTACATGTACTTGTAGAAACAAAGATATTATTATTATTATTATTATTTATTATTATTATTATTATTATTATTATTATAAAACAGAAGAAATATTTTCACCATCCTTCATTCCATCGGGGCTCTGGTGGCCTGGTGGTTAACGCTCTCGCTTCACACGGCGAGGGCCTGGGTTCGATTCCCAGCCAGAGTAGAAACATTGGACGTGTTTCTTGCCACCTGTTGTCTATGTTCCCCATTAGTAAAATGGGTACCTGGATGTTAGTCGACTGATGTGGGTCGCATCCTGGTGTGGGTCGCATCCTGGGACACTGACCTAATTTGCCCGAGATGCTCAGCATAACAAGTGGCTTTCTATGTAGTAGTATGTCATTGTTGTCAGGTAGGACTGTATACATGTACATGTACTTGTTGTAAATAAAGATTATTATTATTATCACTGTCTTGCCACAGGAGCGCTGATACTACCGTTCAAAACTGCAAATATCCCCACCCCTCCTTTAGAGCACAGGCACTGTACTTCTACTTCTAGGACTCGAGTCCGGCTAACCAGTTTCTTTAAATACCTTCATACATCTAAAAGCTCACATTAGCGAAAAGTGCTAAATCTAGCGACGTAATTGCTAAGTTGGCAACTCTGCATCAATCATATCTCAGAGAAAGTTGTTTACCTTCTGTGTTCGTATCCTCACATGTACAATCGACTTCAGCTTTATGTAGCTCTTCCAATATCAAAATTTCCCAATTTTTAATCAAACAACTTCGCTAATATATATAATGCATAATTTTAAGGAATACGTATTTTGTCTGATGATTTATTTCTATACTTTTTAAATAAGCCAGAAGAGCAAACAAACTATAAAAAGATTTAGAATGCAGATGCAACAGGTGAGAAAGTCGTTTTCTGTAATTGTGTAAGTAAGTTGATTCAGGTATACACAAATACAGTTACATAGAATTATCATACATAGCAGCATATGTGTAGAGAACCTAGGATAACCCAAAAAAGTCAGACAGAGTGACTTATTTCCATTGGGTGAGAGGGGAAGTTATTATATTGCTGTATTGTACTTCAACATAAAAGAAATTATATTAGCATATTATTTCAAAAACAAGTAACTTGAGATAAAACTTACCATTCCCGACACTATTCTCCTTTGCTCTACTTTAAATGCTCTTACTGCTAGAGGTCATTAGTTTTAGGATAAATTGGAATTATTATTATTATTATTATTATAATCAAGGTAGTAGGTTGGTAGACTGTGAAACAGAAACCTGTAACTGTTTTGCATGATGGTAGGATTGCTGGTGTCTTTTTCTGTCTCATAAACACGCTAGATAACAGGGATATCTTGCTACTCCTACTTACACTTTGGTCACACTTCACAGACACACAAATGCATATATATATATATATATATATATATATATATATATATATATATATATATATATATATATATATATATATTATATATATATATATATACATACATCTAGGTTTTTCTCCTTTTTCTAAATTGCTCTTGTTCTTCTTTATTTCTTCTATTGTCCATGGGGAAGTGGAAAAGAATCTTTCCTCCGTAAGCCATGCATGTCGTATGAGGCGACTAAAATGCTGGGAGCGATGGGCTAGTAACCCCTTCTCCTGTAGACATTTACTAAAAAAAGAGAAGAAGAAAAACTTTATAAAACTGGGATGCTTGAATGTGCGTGGATGTAGTGCGGATGACAAGAAACAGATGATTGCTGATGTTATGAATGAAAAGAAGTTGGATGTCCTGGCCCTAAGCGAAACAAAGCTGAAGGGGGTAGGGGTTTCGGTGGGGGGAAATAAATGGGATTAAATCTGGAGTATCTGAGAGAGTTAGAGCTAAGGAAGGGGTAGCAGTAATGTTGAAGGATCAGTTATCGGAAGGAGAAAAAGAGAATATGAATGTGTAAATTCAAGGATTATGTGGATTAAAGTAAAGGTTGGATGCGAAAAGTGGGTCATAATAAGCGTGTATGCACTTGGAGAAGAGAGGAATGTAGAGGAGAGAGAGAGATTTTGGGAGATGTTAAGTGAATGTATAGGAACCTTTGAACCAAGTGAGAGAGTAATTGTGGTAGGGGACCTGAATGCTAAAGTAGGAGAAACTTTTAGAGAGGGTGTGGTAGGTAAGTTTGGGGTGCCAGGTGTAAATGATAATGGGAGCCCTTTGATTGAACTTTGTATAGAAAGGGGTTTAGTTATAGGTAATACATATTTTAAGAAAAAGAGGATAAATAAGTATATAAGATATGATGTAGGGCAAAATGACAGTAGTTTGTTGGATTATGTATTGGTACATAAAAGACTGTTGAGTAGACTTCAGGATGTACATGTTTATAGAGGGGCCACAGATATATCAGATCACTTTTTAGTTGTAGCTACACTGAGAGTAAAAGGTAGATGGGATACAAGGAGAATAGAAGCATCAGGGAAGAGAGAGGTGAAGGTTTATAAACTAAAAGAGGAGGCAGTTAGGGTAAGATATAAACAGTTATTGGAGGATAGATGGGCTAATGAGAGCATAGGCAATGGGGTCGAAGAGGTATGGGGTAGGTTTAAAAATGTAGTGTTAGTGTGTTCAGCAGAAGTTTGTGGTTACAGGAAAGTGGGTGCGGGAGGGAAGAGGAGCGATTGCTGGAATGATGATGTAAAGAGAGTAGTAAGAGAGAAAAAGTTAGCATATGAGAAGTTTTTACAAAGTAGAAGTGATGCAAGGAGGGAAGAGTATATGGAGAAAAAGAGAGAGGTTAATAGAGTGGTGAAGCAATGTAAAAAGAGAGCAAATGAGAGAGTGGGTGAGACGTTATCAACAAATTTTGCTGAAAATAAGAAAAAGTTTTGGAGTGAGATTAACAAGTTAAGGAAGCCTAGAGAACAAATGGATTTGTCAGTTAAAAATAGGAGAGGGGAGTTATTAAATGGAGAGTTAGAGGTTTTGGGAAGATGGAGGGAATATTTTGAGGAATTGTTAAATGTTGATGAAGATAGGGAAGCTGTGATTTCGTGTATAGGGCAAGGAGGAATAACAGCTTGTAGGAGTGAGGAAGAGCCAGTTGTGAGTGTGGGGGAAGTTCGTGAGGCAGTAGGTAAAATGAAAGGGGGTAAGACAGCCGGGATTGATGGGATAAAGATAGAAATGTTAAAAGCAGGTGGGGATATAGTTTTGGAGTGGTTGGTACAATTATTTAATAAATGTATGGAAGAGGGTAAGGTACCTAGGGATTGGCAGAGAGCATGCATAGTTCCTTTGTATAAAGGCAAAGAGGACAAAAGAGAGTGCAAAAATTATAGGGGGCTAAGTCTGTTGAGTATACCTGGTAAAGTGTATGGTAGAGTTATTATTGAAAGAATTAAGAGTAAGACAGAGAATAGGATATCAGATGAACAAGGAGGCTTTAGGAAAGGTAGGGGGTGTGTGGACCAGGTGTTTACAGTGAAACATACAAGTGAACAGTATTTAGATAAGGCTAAAGAGGTTTTTGTGGCATTTATGGATTTGGAAAAGGCGTATGACAGGGTGGATAGGGGGGCAATTTGGCAGATATTGCAGGTGTATGGTGTAGGAGGTAGGTTACTAAAAGCAGCGAAGAGTTTTTACGAGGATAGTGAGGCTCAAGTTAGAGTATGTAGGAAAGAGGGAGATTATTTCCCAGTAAAAGTAGGCCTTAGACAAGGATGTGTGATGTCACCGTGGTTGTTTAACATACTTATAGATGGGGTTGTAAGAGAAGTAAATGTGAGGGTCTTGGCAAGAGGCGTGGAGTTAAAAGATAAAGAATCACACATAAAGTGGGAGTTGTCACAGTTGCTCTTTGCTGATGACACTGTGCTCTTGGGAGATTCTGAAGAGAAGTTGCAGAGGCTGGTGGATGAATTTGGTAGGGTATGCAAAAGAAGAAAATTAAAAGTGAATACAGGAAAGAGTAAGGTTATGAGGAAAACAAAAAGATTAGGTGATGAAAGACTGGATATCAGATTGGAGGGAGAGAGTATGGAGGAGGTGAATGTATTCAGATATTTGGGAGTGGACATGTCAGCGGATGGGTCTATGAAAGATGAGGTGAATCATAGAACTGATGAGGGGAAAAGAGTGA